CATGCTCGTCGTTTGTAGGGCGGTTTGCGAGCATGCGCGCCAAAAATCAAAAAATTTTGATTTTCAGCGAGCATGCTCGTCGTTTGTAGCGTGGTTTGCGAGCATCGCATTGGAAACAAAAACAACAACCTCACTTTGTGTTGATGCTTGCAGTGTGCACATCGCGGATAAATGCATCCAAGCCATGTGCGTTAATTGAATTTTTGATAAATGAGGCTAAATTACTATATGTATATGTATGTACATACATATAAGTAAAATATAAATAAATTTAAGTAACACATACACAAAAAACCCTAAGTCCTAAGTATTTCAATTGCATCATCCGCGTCTTTCCTTTCCATGTTTACGCTTTGAGTACAAAATCACTTATGAGCCGCTCGCCGTTTGTAGCAAACGACAGCCAGCATGTTGGCGCACATGTGCGCGGATATGCTCGTCGTGTGTAGCTACTGTAATACTAAGTATATCTACCATATCCATACTTAGGAGTAGAACTCTACGTAAATACGTATGTATGTTCTCGTTCCAAAAGCTACGGCATTCAGTGGGGGTCTTCACCCTATGTATGTGTGAGTCGAAATTATTCCTTCAAGCGTTGAATTTTTGATATATTTATAAATTATAGCCGCACCATATTTTGACAATTTTTGACATATTATTATTTTTTGTAATTTAATTTTGGTTATATTTTATAAAAAATATATGTAGTTCCTTCTTTTACAGAACTCGTGTAAATTTAAATTTCAAACTTTGTTCAATATTTAAAAAAATTCAACAAACTTTCGTAAATATTTTAGGTGAATGAAGCACTGATTGCCTTGAAAGCTTGGTATCTTCGGAATACATATGTACAGACATAACGAGCCCTTACTGCCAAAATAACGTAAGCGACATTTTTTGTACAGTTCTGCACATAAATTAAGTTTGGTAACTTTTTCCGGTAATTTTGGTAAAAAATAAAAAACTGCTATGGCAACACTGGATCTAACCCCGTTTAGGTCGGCGAATTATCCCAGAAGTTGTTCGTCCATAGGGCTACATTTGCTCCGCATTCTTCTGCTCAGGGCTGACGTCGAGTCAAACCCAGGGCCAGAAACATAAACCTGCTATGTATGCCAGAGACGACTACACCACAACTCCACCTCAGTCTAGTGCAATGCTTGCGACGGGTGGAGTCACCTCAGAGTCTGCTCAGGACTACGGACCCATCGGCATTGGACCACATCATTTGTAGTAGCCCCCTGCTGCTCCAACAGAACTGCTTCCATGGCAAATCCCAGTCCGCCTGAGCAGCTAAACACAAACACCACAGCACCACAACACAACACAATAGACCGAACCGCGGCAGACCACACAACAGACACAACCGCACCACTACCCACACGCCGCAACCAACAACTCCTGTCTCCTCCTACAATCTGCACGGTATGTCAGACCAGGATATTCCGTAATCTGACATAAGTCAAGTGCAACACCTGCCTTGGCTGGTGCCACTTCAGGGCATGTTCAGATCTGCGCACCACGTGAGATTGGATGAGGAGCTTCGAGGGCCCGTGTTGCGCTGCACGGTCGCAAACTCCAATTGCGACGCCACCCACTAACACCACAGGGCGGCACCTCTCACAGCAGCGCACACAGCATATGGCGGTTAGGCAACACACATCCCTCACCCCCAGCATAACAACACATCTCCCGAGCCACACGAAGCTCTTTCAATTTAACTGTAACGGACTTCAGAGCAAGATCGAGGAGATAACCGTCTTCATGGGAAGGCATGAAATATTGATAGCTGCGGTCCAAGAGACGAAGTCGCACAGCCGGATACAATGTGCACCGTCGAGATCGCGAACGAGATAATGGCGGTGGCCTAGCGTTCATCACGCACCACACAATAAACGACGACGCACCCGCCAGGATTATAGGCAGCTGCTGCAGCTCGCCAGACATAACAATAGTCAGCGCTGGTTTGATAAACAGCATATCATGGCGACCTATGCTGACCTTGGCTTCAGACCATCTGCCCATAGTCATCTCGATCGATAAACCTGCCGACTTTGCTTCTGCGGAATACCGGACCTATATCAACTTTACCAAAGCTAATTGGAAAGACTTCGCGGAATTTACCTAAAGCACCTTCGCTGCCCTCCCTATACCAACCGACGTTCAGCTAGGTGAACGTAAGTTCCGCAGGGTTGCGAGCTGCAGCGGCAGTTACCAGCAGGTTGCATAACGGACCCCCGCCCAAACTTTCCTGCTGAAGCGGCTATCCTAGCCGATGAGCGTGGACAACCTTCTCAGGCCGATCCCGGAAATCCCCGTATCAGGGATCTCAACTCGGAGATTCGGCAGCTTGTGAAAGTATATAAGGGGAAAAGGTGGGAAGAGCATCTGAAGACTCGCAACTTCTCCTCTGGTGTGAGTAAGCTTTGGTCAACCGCAGCGTCACTATCCAATCCGACAAAGCGCGACGACAGATTCGAAACATCCTTCGGCGATCGTGCTTCGTCGGACCCGGAGCGATGCGCGAGTGTCGAGTGACCAGAAGGCTGCACAAACTGCCAACAACAAGTGCGCCTCTCGCTTGTTTTTACCAGCGGTGAGAGTCTCATCGTCCGATAACACTCCTTTTCCCAATAGCGAAGATACTAGAGGCCTTGCTACTCCCGAATATTGTGAATCACCTGCCCCCAGCCAAGCATCAGCATGGTTTCCGTAAAGTGCACAGCACAGCAACAGCACTTAAATAATGCCATAAACCCTCAGATAACACGTGGCCGAAAACGCAACCGCCTTTCCACGCTGCTAGAAGAGGTGGAGGCCTCCTCACACCCACAGAGACTGAAACGGTGGTCAGCGAATTATCTCTCCGAGCTTTATCGCTTCTTCACTGCTAGGAGTCTAACCCTCTCCCCTACAAAATCATCTGCGACCTTATTTACCACCTGGACGAAGGAGGTCTGACTTCCGCTGGGTATTCACGTTGATAACACACCAATTCCGATGGCGAATAACCCAAAAATACTCGGAGTAACATTCGACAGTCTGCTCTCCTTTTCTGTGCCCACAACCGCAATTGTCAACAAAGTACAGAGCCGCAACAAGGTCCTCAAGTCGCTAGCCGGTAGTACTTGGGGCAAAGACAAAGAAACGTTGCTGGCAACATACAAGACAATTGACCGGCTAAATTACGAAGTACCACGAGTGGTCACCGGGGACCAGTAGGACGCAGTGGATGAAGCTACAGACAGTACAAAACACTGGACTACGGAGAGCGACCGGATGCCTTCTGGTGTCGCCAGATCACCACCTACACGACGAGGCGAAAATGCTCCCCAGGAGCACAACACAATACTCAGCAAGCAATTCTTAGTAGGGAGCCACAGACCGGGACACCCGAACAGACACCTGCTTGCAGAGGAGCCCTCGCCAAAGCATGTCAGAAGACATCTTCACGAACTGACGGACGAAGTCCAGAGGTTAATAAAGCAACCTCTGGACCCGTCAGCATATCGACAGGCCCTGATCAGCATTCACAGGGAGGCAGTCTCAAGTGACGTAGGCTTCAGACCTGTGAATGCCGTGGCACACAACCACTTGTCATAGACGAGACGGAGCTTCGTCTGCCTCACGAGACGCGGACCACAATAGCCCAACTTCGCTCTGGCTACTGCAGCAGGTTGAACTCATACCTGTGCAGATTAGATGCAGATATGCCAAATGAGTGTTCGGCATTGGGAGAGACACTCCACGACTCGAACCATCTCTTCGTATGCCCGGGAAACCCCACGCAACTGACGGCTCTGTCCCTGTGGACAGACCCTATAGAGGCTGCACGCTTCTTGAGTCTTCCGTTAGTTCAGCTTGACGACAACGACTGAGATACTAACCGGTATGTATGTACCCTATTTGCCCACTCTAGCACTGAAATAGCTAAGCGTAATTAAATAGCGTGAAGGAGAACGCGCTCAGTGGTTTTCTCTTCGCCGAAACGTGCGTACAAGTTTGGATAATGTTGTTAAACCTGGCAGTGATGCGAATTGTGTATATTAATTCAATGTGACAGGTGAACATGGATACCAGGAGTTGAAGTCTCCATCCAGCCACAAAAGCCCCACACCAAATGTTTGCACTGCTTTATGAAAGCTGTAATAAACGTAACATGCTCCATATTTTTTAAGCCATGCCACGACTATTGCTTTTCCACAACTGCGGGAATGGCAGCCTTATAGTATTTTAGAGTGTCCAGCATTGGGCGGTGGTTGTACGTGACGGGACTTAAGCTTCTATCTATGTTGATGACTTTTAAGCCTTGTAAGGATGCACAACTTGTTGATCACAGCTCTTATAACTCATACCTTTAATCTCTTATTAGTTACCAAAAAAAAAA